TTCTTTTCCCCTGAGAGGTTTTCGAGGTTTATTGTCATTTTCGTATTTTTATTTCCTCTATCATCTCATTCATTAGCTTGTCTAATTGATCCGTTATTTTCTTTTCGATTGTCTCTAGTTTAGTTTTATTTGTAATTATCAAGTGTCTTTCCCATATTTTCTAGTTCTATCTTATACATTTTCGGTCCAATCTTGATCGCCTCTGACTTCTAGTTCTACTCTTATTTTTTGTATCATAAAAGTTTCCAACACGGTTCTAGATATCAAAAAGCTAATTCGAAAAATACATATAGCGTATTTATGGTAAGTTTTAGCAAATATTAGTATCCTAATATTTTTTTAAATTCAGATTTTAAAAGTTCTAAAATTGCCATATTTCATTTGGCATCCTGGAATTTTTGAAGAATGAAGCCGAAAATAGATTCTGGTTGTTTTAATCTAGAGTTATGTGTTCGGAAAATTTCGCCTCAAAATCCAGAAAAAATTTTGGAATACAGATCTCTATTATGTTCTTCTGTCGAGTGGGAGTGAAAACGTATAAAAAACTTATATAATAAACGAAGCCGAAAATTACTTCTGGAGTTGGAAAACTACAAGAAAATGTCTTTAACCGATTTTCGGAAATAGATGAAAAATGGTGGAAAACGTCAAAAGTGCCAAAAACAGACATGTTTTATCAAATACTAGCCTTGCTTACCCACTGTCTATTTTCTTAGAGGATATATCATTTGCCAAACTCAGACTTATTTTAGCAAATACTAGCCCCGCCCACCCACCCTCTACTTTCTTGAAGCGTATGTGATTTGCCAAAATCAGTCTTACCTCAGCAAGTACTAGGCCAGCCCACCCTCCCTCTTCTCATTCTGGCGACTAATTTTATATCTCTTCAGTATAAAATCATTCATTTCATTTAGTTCGGATCAAATCAATCAATCACTGAGAATGAGACAGGGTGGGTGGGTGGGGCTAATTATGTCCTTCTGTCGAGAGGGAGTGGAAACTTATAAAAAACTTTTATAATAAATGAAGCCGAAGATTACTTCTGGAGATGTAAAACTACAAGAAAATGTCTTTAACCGATTTTCGGAAATAATTGAAAAATGGCGGAAAACGTCAAAAGTACCAAAAACAGACTTGTTTTATCAAATACTAGCCTTGCTTACCCACTGTCTATTTTCTTAGAGGATATATCATTTGCCAAACTCAGACTTATCTTAGCAAATACTAGCCCCGCCCACCCACCCTCCACTTTCTTGAAGCGTATGTGATTTGCCAAAATCAGTCTTACCTCAGCAAGTACTAGGCCAGCCCACCCTGCCTCTTCTCATTATGGCGACTAATTTTATTTCTGTTCAGTATAAAATCATTGATTTCATTTAGTTCGGATCAAATCAATCAATCACTGAGAAGGAGACAGGGTGGGTGGGTGGGGCTAATTATGTCCTTCCGTCGAGGGGGAGTGGAAACTTATAAAAAACTTATATAATAAACGAAGCCGAAGATTACTTCTGGAGATGGAAAACTACAAGAAAATGTCTTTAACCGATTTTCGGAAATAGTTGAAAAATGGTAGAAAACGTCAAAAGTGCCAAAAATAGACTTGTTTTATCAAATATTAGCCTTGCCTACCCATTGTCTATTTTCTTAGAGGAAATATCATTTGCCAAAGCCAGACTTATCTTAGCAAATACTAGCCCCGCCCACCCGCCCTCTATTTTCTTAGAGCGTGTGTCATTTGCCAAAATCAGTCTTACCTCAGCAAGTACCAGGCCCGCCCACCCTCCCTCTTCTCATTCTGGCGACTAATTTTATGTCTGTTCAGTATAAAATCATTGATTTCATTTAGTTCGGATCAAATCCATCAATCACTGAGAAGGAGACAGGGTGGGTGGGTGGTGCTAATTATGTCCTTCTGTCGAGTGGGAGTGGAAGCTAATAAAAAACTTATATAATAAACGAAGCCAAAAATAGCTTCTAGATATCGAAAACTACAAGAAAATGTCTTCAAATTTTTTTGGAAAGAAGTTGAAAAATAGTCGAAAATTTCATAAATGCCAAAATCAGTAAACTTGAGACAAATAATTCTTTCTTGAACCTATTTATACTTATTACAAATTAAAGTTACATTTTGCCTGTTTTTCTTACTATTCTTAGTCAAAAAACATAAAACCTGTTCAAAATGGTAAATTTTTGAAAGGAAATATGGATTTTGCAATTACGCTTCGCCCCTCGATTTGACAACGAATGAAAATTGCACTGAGGTCGGGGCCGGTATGGGTGGAGTTTAATATCGTGATGAATTTTTCATTCGTTGCCAGACCGAAGCGTGAAACGTAACCGCAAAATCCGTATTTCGCTACAAAAATTTACCATTTTAAAGATGTTTTAAGATTTTGTAATGAAAAGATAACTACGTATATTAAGGAAAAAAGGCCAAAATATGATGGTCATGGGTCAAAATTTTCAAAACATATATTTGTTTTTTTTTATTGTAAAAACAGTCATATTTCATTTGGGCGATTTTGAAAAATCGGTATGGTTTTTCGAAAATGAAGCCGAAAGTAAGTGTTAGAAGTCAAAATCTACAGAAAAATCTCTTCGAGTAATTTTTCTAAAGTGGTGGAAAGGGGTCGAAAATTTCATAAGGTACCAAAAAATTTAAGTTTTGGAAAAATTGCATAAAAAACTTCTAGGATATGGATTTCGACATGCTGATTTTTAAAAATTTAGCGTGTCCATCATCCTGAATGCAGATTTTCGAAATATTCAGAGGGTTGCAATTTATAAAAAAAAAAACTCATTCGGCAATTTTTGAAAGAGTCAAAAATTTCTTTTTTTTTCCAAAAAAAGTTGCGCAAAAATTATAAAAAATTGTAGGATGCAAATCCACACATGCCGATTCTCAAAATACAGATTATTATTGATTGTTCCCAATACATATTTTCGAAGTATTTTGTTTCAAAATGATTTTTTTTAGTAATATTAAAAATTGAAGTATTTCATTTGACGATTTGGAAAAATGCTAGGAATTTTAGAAGAAATAATGAAGTCGAAATTAAATTGTGGAGATTGAAATTTACAAAATCTTCTCTTTGGATAGTTCTCGAAAGTAGTCTAAAAAAGGGCGTGAAATACAAAATAAAAAAAATGAGATTTTGGAAAATTTGCCTAAAATCCACAAAAGATTCCGAGATATAAGTAGATCTCGACAAACTAATTCTCAAAGTATAGCTTTTCGATGGTCCTGGATGCAGATTTTCGAAATATGTAGGTACTCGATTTCAAGCTTAAATTTTTTGGAAATTCTAAAAATTGCTATATTTGATTTGGCGACTATGTAAAAATTCTATGAATTTTCGAAGAAATGAATCCAAAAGTAAGTTTTTAGGTCGAAATCTACAGAAAAATCTCCTCCAGTAATTGTTCTAAAGTGGTGGAAAAGGGGTCGAAAATTTCATAAGGTACCAAAGAAAAGTTGCATAAAAAAATCCTGGGATATGGATTTTGACATGTTGATTTTCAAATTTGCTTGTCCATCGTTCTGAATGCAGATTTTCGAAATATTCAGAGGGTTGCAATTTACAAAAAAAAAACTCATTCGGCAATTTTTGAAAAAGAGTCAAAAATTTCAATTTTTGTGGATTTTTATTGGTAAGATGCAAATCCTGACATGCCGATTCTCAAAATACAGATTATTATTGACTTTTCCCAATACAGATTTTCGAAGTATTCTGTTTCGAAATCATTTTTTTTTAGTAATACTAAAAATTGAAGTATTTCGTTTGACGATTTGGAAAAATGCTACGAATTTTCGAAGAAATAATGAAGTCGAAATTAAATTTTGGAGATTGAGATTTACAAAATCTTCTCTTTGGATAGTTCTCGAAAGTAGTCTAAAAAGGGCGTAAATTACAAAAGAAAAAAATTGAGGGTATGTACTCGGTTTCAAGCTCAAATTTTTGGAAATTCTACGAATTTTCGAAGAAATGAAGCCGAAAGTAAGTTTTGGAGGTCAAAATCTACAAAAGTTCTTGTTAGGTAATTTACGAAGATAATCGAAAAAGAGTCGAAAATTTCAAAAGAAAGAATATTAAAAAAATCGCGTTTTTGGAAAAGTTGTAAAAATCCACAAAACATTGTAGGATGTAGATCTCGATGAGCTGATTTGGTCCCAGGTCAAGAGTTTCAAATTATTAGGCTTCAAATTCATAATCTTTATAGGTTCTGAAAATTGCTATATTTCATCTAGCAATTTGCCAAAAAATAGAAAAAACTCTGGGATATAAATCTCGACAAATGTTTCCGTAATACATATTATTTGATTTTAAAATCTTTTTTTTTAATTTTAAAAACAGCAATATTTCGTTTGGTGATATTGAAAAATCGGAAAGGAGATGAAAAGTTTTAGAGATCGTAATCTACAAAAAAATTTCTTTAGGCAATTTTCGAAGATACTCAAAAAAGTGTCGAAAATTTCGTAAGAGAGTAGGTACTGTAAATTAAGGTTTTGTAAAAGTTGCTAAAAAATTCTTAGATAGAGGTCTCCATATGCTGAGTCTCAAAATATAGGTTAACGGAATATTTTTTAAATATTCGGGACTCAACTCATTTTTTTAGAAATTCTAAAAATTCAAAATTTTAAAATAACGTTTCATGAAAGATGCGTTATTTTGAAATTACGAAACTCCTAGGCGGTGTAAAATTCGACTGTTTCAAACGAAATTGTTATTTTAAGGATTTTTTGAAATTCTTAAAAAAACAAAATAAAAGAAAAATAAATGTGACGACCTTCTAAGATTCCTCCAAAATCTTTCGAAAGTAAAACTTAACAAAAATGCTAATTCTTACTAGAAGTTATTTTTTTTAAATAACATAAATTCTATACAAACTAACTTAAATTGCGTAACTAAAAAATATTTTTCAAATTTCGATAACATAACATAGATAAAACTAAGTTGATTATTAAAATTAACATAAATTTTAACATCTGCCATCTCTTGTCATTTCAAAATACTCGAACTTCGTGGAACGTTTTTTATTTTGATGTCTTTCTGAAAGGTCATGCCTTAGGTAAATGACACCAGATTACTACTTTGTCTCTGTTATATTTACCTCGAAATCACTAAAATCGGACGTCCACGATTCATCATCCGAGTCTTTGGCCGATTTTAAACTCACCACAGATGGCCTCCAACACTTCTTTGGTGAATTTGTTTTTCCTTCGAGTGGTCTGAACTTGGGCATTTCTAAAATACTTCCTATTATTTCCAGGACTCGTAAATTAAAAAAAGCGAAAGAACCTTTTTTTGAAGAGCGTTTTTGTTGACTGCGTGGGGTTATTGCTTTCTTTTTCCCTGTACTTTTCTGAGGGGTTGGTGTGAAAGGAGAACTTTTTGGTGTGCACAATCGAGGTGTTCTTGGTGACTTAGTAGAATCCACTGTATCTTTCGTAACATACTATAAAAAGACACATGATCTTCTATATATATTTTTTAAATACATACCTTCTTCAGACTAACGTTGGTCTTAATCAGAGCTTCAATAGTTCGATCAAAACTCAGAAACGGCTCTCCGTGTTTCTGCGAAAAATAATTCGACAATTTTAAGAGTTTCTCTTCAGTTTTGTTGATGCGACTTTTTAAAATGCCCAATTTTTTCAACTCCTCCGCCATTTTGCCACCTCTGTTTGCATAAAAAGACCTCGGATCTCTGTTTATTCTCAGTTCTTCTGCCTCTTTCAGAATTTTGTTGTATGTGTTCAGCGTAATAATAATTTCACTAAAAATAAATTAAAAATGACTTAATGTAGGAACAACTAACAGTTTATAAAAATTTTACTAATTTTGGGCATAGAACTCTTCCCACTTCTTGATTTCTTCATTACAATGATCAAGCACCGCTTGACTGTAATCGTTTGTGTAAATTTCTGGAAAATCATTCCGTATACTTGAACCACAGTGACACTGGTCCCAAAGAACGGTCAACGTTGCTTTACATTCTTCGATTAAATTTTCCAGATTATGGTCTCTAAAGGCTTCTAATCTTGCAATTTCGTCAGAAAGACGCTGCACGAGTTCCCTCTGGTCAATTTCCATTGATTCTAGAAAAGATATCTTTTCGCTGGCTGAAAAATGAAGACTATTCCATAATTTTTCTAGTTGTTCTTTCAAACTATTAATGCGCGTGTCAGTTTCCTGCTGTTTGATCACCACACACTCGTAAATTTCATTCAGTGAGTCAATTGCTTCGCTGGTGATAACGAATGATTCGTCTGACAACTCCAAAAATTTAGCCTGTTGGGCTTCATCCAACTGAACACCATAATTTCGAATGATGCTTCGAATTTCAGCTATTTTCGTCCTAAATTCCTTTTCATTAAGAACAGCTCTTTGCTCTAAGGATTCTACTGTTTGTTTGATTTTTTCTTCCGATAGCGGAGACATGACATCTGGAAGAGTTCTGAAAGATTGCCCTAGTTTCTTCGCCAAAAGTTCATATTTGCCCTCCAGTTCTCGTGCTTCTTTTTGTTTTTTTTCATATATGATTTCCAGTCTGTAACACGCAAAGACTATTAAGAAAATTATGAAAGAAGGTCTTACTCTTGCAATCTTGTTTTCAACCAATTGTAGTTTTTACTTAGAGGCATGTCTTTGTTCTGGTTTTCTTCGAACAAGTCCACACCTAATATGGATACCAGCTCCTCTATCCTCGTTACACATTTTCCCATTAAATCAATATATTTATCGTAGATATTTTCGGCTGTGATAATCCAACCTTCACACGTCCTTTTTAATTCATCCTGTACCATTTGGATGTGGTCTGCGTTTGCTTCTTGGTCGTTATCCACTGCAATTACGACCTCGAGCCATTGTACCACAGATTTGCTAACGGTGGTAATAATATCATCATGGACTGTACGAGTCCATGGATATTCGTTGAATCTAGAAATTAATTAAATTAGTATGTGATTGTTACCATTGTTTAAACATACAGCGGTTTTGAGGGACTTTTGTCACACATGATTTCCATTTCTCACAAATCACAAATTGCTGGCCGTCACGGTTGCTGAAAGTGATAATTTTTTCCTGACTTTTTGTTCTTGCTGATGTAAAAACCTCATTCTAAAAAACTAGCTACACTATGAACAAGTTACTTATTGAGAGCATATTAAGAAAAAAAGGCAAAATATCAGCCCCACCCACCCACCCCTATCTCAATTGTGATGAATTTTTTTATTCGTCATTAGCTGGGGGGGCGGAGCTTAAATGCAACATCTCTATTTCTGTACAAGAAATTGCCATGTGAAACGTCACCAGGGTTGACAAATCTACCGATTATGTACAGTAGTTTTTTCTTTCCCTTTCGATATCTCCTTGTACTTCTGAGAAAATAAGAATATTTATTGCCTTTTTCTCCTCAAAACAGTCTAATTTCAACAATACTATCAGATCTCAAATATGTTTCACTTGGTAATTTCTTGTACAGAAATATGAACATTGTAAATAAGCGCCGCCCCTCGTCTCACGCCGAATAAAAAGAAATAATCACAATTGAAATGGGGGCGGTCGGGGGTGGCCTATATTTAGCCTTTTTTTTCTTAACATACGTACTCTTTTTTCACAACAAAATATTTCATGTTTAAAATGGTAAATTTTTGTACACAAATATGGATTTTGAAATTAAGCTCCGCCCCTTGATCTGACAACAAATGAAAAAAGACCGGGGCGGGTGGGTGGGGCTTTATCATTGCGTTTATTTTTTTTATTATCTTCTTTACTTTTTGTGTTTTTTTTATTTCCATTTGTCTTACTTTTGCTGATTAATTATTTGGGTCCTTTTTTCCGTTTATGACAATTTTTGATACTTAATTTTGATTTCTCTTCCCTTACTCTTTTCCTTTGACACCGTTTTTTTTGTTATATTATTAATTTCTTCATTTCCGTCAATTTATCAATTTTTTTGGTCTTCTTATCTTTGTTCGGGGTTCTTACCTTATCAGTTTTTTACTCCTTTTCTTTCCTCTCTCTTTCTGTTGTTATCCTCAGATGAGTATCCCTTCTTTACTACTCACTATTTAAATATTCCGATTTTCTTAGTTTATTATTGTTTTACTGAATATTTTAAAAAGTCCACCCCGTTTTGTCTTAAAATTCGTTTAGTAGTTTTTCGCCAAGGAAGAAGTTATTCGAAACTACATTATCCCATGCTTTATAGTCACCGATTCGTTGAGGACAAAAGAACAAAGCTTTCACTTTTTAAGTGCCTTTTATGTACATTTAACTAGCTTAAATAAAAAAACCACTTGTAACGTATACACAACCATTAAAAATTCTCTATGAAGTCACGCTGCTTTTTTCTTGCCACAGGTTCCGGCGGAATATAAAAATGTTCACGTTTTGCCGTCTACGCCGTGATTTATATTATCCTTATCTTAATGTAAACTGTAACAGCTTAAAAATTCTGTTTGAATTGCCTGGAATTAAAAGAAACCCAACATCAAAGAATAGCGAAACGTTGAAAATATTGTGTACAACGAAAAAACTTGTAGACACTTTTAAACGACTAACTGTTTAGTTTTAAATTAAATTTACGTTCCAACAGAAGGATATTTATAAGCCGAGATTTATTAAGGAACGAATAATAGGACAAAAAGAATCCTGAGAAGCTCTCTGTAATATCGGTAAATTTAAGGAGCACAGCAGAGCACGGGCTTCTCGTTATTGCCATCGATTTTCAAATCTGCATACACTGAGGTGCACATGTGCATATTTTATGATAAGTTCTTGTATTTTCATGTGCTTATAACGATTTAAAATTTCAGCTTGATTTATTTGGTTTTTTTGTACTATCCGTGGAAAGAAACGATCTTTTGCAGCTGTTGGACAAATGGCTACATAACTTCTGCAAAATTTCAGATATTCTCCACTGACAAAGAATCTCCATTGTACGTTATTTTTCGTTTCAGTAATTTTCACCATCAACGACGTTCCTGAATCTTATACCCCTCTGATGTGATCTGACGTCGTTCGCGAACTCGACATGCTTCCGCAGTTCCAAATATTAGAACAATCTGTATCCGCATACCATATCATCATCCAAGTAAAGAAATTTATATTTATACATATTTTTATTACAAAAAGATTTGGTAGTGGCATTTCTCAGGAATTCGTTAATTTGTGCGTTTGTTAAAACTTAGGTCAATCACCTTCTGGAATTTGCTTTCAAAATTAAATTATTTTCAAATACTTGGAAATATTTATTTATATTCTTTCAGCGTGTCAATTATTCTAACCAGGAGCATGTCAATGGCTTTATTTGTTGAGACAATTCAAGAAAATATTTTGGTAGCACTAAATTTTTTATTCGCTTGGTATTCTAATTTTAATTTGTTTTGTAGCAGAGTCATAGAAACAATCTTGTACTGTACAGGGGAAAAATACCTTTAAGGGTCTGCGTGTACATTTATAAATAATTTTTAACACTCCTCATATTATAATCTTTGTACGGAGCTTTAAAGCGCCTGTTTAAAATTAAATTATACTAATACACCCTAAATTTCTGACAGTAAGTAAGTTCTTTTCAGAGTCTTGAAACATCTGATTCCACTCTACAATAAACAAAAATGTTGAAAATTTTATTATTTTATTGATCTTCGTTTACAGTTCGTGTGGGCTGGAATTCGATTCAAAGCTTCTTAAGAGCTGAAATCGGATTAATTTCGCGACATTTCTTAGCAACTTAATTAAAAATGTTAAATTAAATTATTGTGAACAATGAAACTTCACCGAATAATTGGGTTAATGCCTAATGTATAGTAAATGGGAACATTAAACTTTGAAAAAGAAATCGATCACTGGATTTCTAGAAAATATCTACATTTTCAACATTTTTGAGGATCGGACAGATCCTAAATTGGCGCATTAACTCATTGTTAAATTTACAAATCTAAGTTCGAATAAAATCATGACAAAATTAGTTGCCAGATTCATTCTGCACAATTTTTAAGTTTTTCGTTTTTTTAAATTATTTTCTCTTTGCTAAATAATCAGTTCTTAACAACGTGTCATAATATTAGCGACATTCTTTCTAAAACAGAACACGAAAGTCCGCCAAGATTCCTTTAAATTGTTTCAGAAACGACACCAGGAACAGCTAAGATTCTTTCAAATAATTTCAAAAACCGAAAACTTTCAAGATTCTTTCAAATTCCTTCTAAAATAAAACACCTGGGACCTCCAAGATTTTTCCAAATTCTTTCAAAAATAACACTAGGGATTCTTTCAATATCTTTAAAAAAAATTAGGGGCTCCAAGATTGCTTCAAAATGTTAAAAAAGAAAAAATTAAACATAGGGAAAACCCGAGATTCTTTCATTAGTTCAAAACCACAACACCAAGGGCCCCAAGATTCTTTCAAATCCTTAAAAAAATAATTAAACACCAGGTGCGCCTGAAATTCTTTCAAATTCTTTTAAAACAGAACACCAAAGATCGCCCAAGATTCTTTTAAAGTTTTATAGAAACGACACCAGGAACAGCTAAGATTCTTTCAAACAGTTTCAAAAACCAAAAACCTTCAGTAATCTTTCAAATTCCTTCTAAAATAAAACACCGGAGACCCCCAAGATTTTTCCAAATTCTTTCAAAAATAACACTAGGGTTTCCAAGATTCTTTCAATTTCTTTAAAAAAAAAATAGGGGCTCCAAAATTGCTTCAAAATCTCAAAAAAGGAAAAATTAAACGCTGGGGAAACCCGAGATTCTTTCATTCTTTCAAAAGCACAACAACAACGCCCCAAGATTCTTTCAAATTCTTAAAAAAATAATTGAACACTAGATGCGCCTGAGATTCTTTCAAATTCTTTTAAAAAACAGAACACCAAAGATCGCCCAAGATTCTTTTAAATTTTTATAGAAACGACACCAGGAACAGCTAAGATTCTTTCAAACAGTTTCAAAAACCAAAAACCTTCAGGAATCTTTCAAATTCCTTCTAAAATAAAACACCGGAGACCCCCAAGATTTTTCCAAATTCTTTCAAAAATAACACTAGGGTTTCCAAGATTCTTTCAATTTCTTTAAAAAAAAAATAGGGGCTCCAAAATTGCTTCAAAATCTCAAAAAAGGAAAAATTAAACGCTGGGGAAACCCGAGATTCTTTCATTCTTTCAAAAGCACAACAACAACGCCCCAAGATTCTTTCAAATTCTTAAAAAAATAATTGAACACTAGATGCGCCTGAGATTCTTTCAAATTCTTTTAAAAAACAGAACACCAAAGACCGCCCAAGATTCTCTTAAATTTCTTTAGAAACGACACCAGGAATCGCTAAGATTCTTTCAAACAGTTTCAAAAACCAAAAACCTTCAGGAATCTTTCAAATTCCTTCTAAAATAAAACACCGAAGACCCCCAAGATTTTTCCAAATTCTTTCAAAAATAACACTAGGGTTTCCAAGATTCTTTCAATTTCTTTAAAAAAAAAATAGGGGCTCCAAAATTGCTTCAAAATCTCAAAAAAGGAAAAATTAAACGCTGGGGAAACCCGAGATTCTTTCATTCTTTCAAAAGCACAACAACAACGCCCCAAGATTCTTTCAAATTCTTAAAAAAATAATTGAACACTAGATGCGCCTGAGATTCTTTCAAATTCTTTTAAAAAACAGAACACCAAAGATCGCCCAAGATTCTTTTAAATTTTTATAGAAACGACACCAGGAACAGCTAAGATTCTTTCAAACAGTTTCAAAAACCAAAAACCTTCAGGAATCTTTCAAATTCCTTCTAAAATAAAACACCGGAGACCCCCAAGATTTTTCCAAATTCTTTCAAAAATAACACTAGGGTTTCCAAGATTCTTTCAATTTCTTTAAAAAAAAAATAGGGGCTCCAAAATTGCTTCAAAATCTCAAAAAAGGAAAAATTAAACGCTGGGGAAACCCGAGATTCTTTCATTCTTTCAAAAGCACAACAACAACGCCCCAAGATTCTTTCAAATTCTTAAAAAAATAATTGAACACTAGATGCGCCT